AGACAACAACTCTCATGATCCCATGCTACTTCTTGAAATCATGAAACTAAATCTTGTGTTATTGTTTTGAAGCTATTCCATCATCCAACAACCAATTCTGATGCAGTATGCTGGCACCTTACCTTGGGAGGCAGAGCAGGCTGGATTGGCATTTTGGGATGGCGCTTCGTGGTGCTGGCTGTGAAATTGCAAGCCAGTTAGTAGCATGGAGTCAATGCTCCAAATAAAATATAGGAACGTTACAGATAGTAACGTTATTCTAAATATGATTGAATGCTGAAAAATAAATTACAGTGTCACTTTCGGCCTGATGATGCTGGCTCCCTCCCACAGACTTTGTACGGAAAACGAGCAAAAGACACACCAGAAAGTTACACATAGAACCTTTTATGAAACAATTAAAGTTTAAAAGAGAGCCATTTCCTTCTCCTCTTCTCTCGACTTCAGTGGTGATAAAAACACTAAATTACTCAGATGAACTAAAAATGTTGTGTAATGTTTTAATTAAGTTAGGATTTTGCTGGTCCTGTCTAATAGTCTATAGTACTTTGCGGAAACGATCTGTAGCTTCTGTAACATCAGTCTTTTTAATCTATTTTCTGTCTAAATGAGGAATCTTTTCTTACATGAAACATTTATCTTATCTTTATTATAGTTGTATCTATTTTTAGGTATGATCCTCTCAAACATACTAGCCAATACTGCACATTCCGTAACTGCTCTTTTGAACTCTGTCCTAATTTTATCTCCCAACTCCAGGGTTGAATTATGAACTTTGATCAATGGATAGAAGACAATCCACCTGCTGGAAAGTAGTTTCCAAATGATTGATTAATGTAGAGACCACAAAATAAAAATCTCCAGTCAGGTTACTTAAACTGATCATAGTTAGATTGCCAAAGTTTTGCCTAAAAGTTAATTGTACAACTTATCCTTACCAAACCTTTTCTTCCATGTAACAATAGGGCAATCCTTAGCAATCAAATTACTTTATTATGAGATGGTCTTGGGCCAGTGAATGTTACTCCTTATTCTACAAGACTGACTTGCCCTCTCACCTGTATTTGTCAAAGATTTTAGTGCCTTCACCTATAACCCTGTCTGTTTCAGATTATGTAATGTGTGTAGCCATGGCATAACATCATTAGTGTCCTCTACCAGCTGTAATGTGATAAGCAAAAGTCACATAATGGCTATAAATGTGGAAGGGAGGTGCAGATTTAGTACACTTGTGTCTACTTGAATATAACTAAACATAAACTGAGAAGATACAATGCTTGATGACCTGGTCTTGTTTTCCAGCTTTTAAACTAATCCTACAGCCTGAAATCAGCCATCTCTCCCTCTCTTCTATTACAATGTTAGAAAGACATAAATGTACATCTTAATCTTAATAATAATTACTATTGATTAATACTAATATATTAGATAGATAGAGCTTCCTAAATGTTACACACTGGACCTTTGCTATCACAATCTAAATAATATCCATCACCTTACTCTTTTTGAGCATAAACTGAACTCTGTGTCCTTTACCTGTGACCCTTCTCCCCACAGACTACTGTGCCAGTAAGTTTGCAGCAGTAGGTTTTGCAGAGTCGGTAGGTCTGGAGTTGCTGGCAACTGGGAAAGATGGCATCAAGACTACCATTGTGTGCCCGTACTTCATCAATACTGGAATGTTCGATGGATGTCAAACTAAGTAGGTCTCTTTACATGATGTTCACCTTTGACATTTTCAGGTAGTTAGCACTCAAACAAACGAGTCATTTAAAGAATCTGCACATGTAAACACAGGGGTTAATGTCAGTACGACAGATTTTTGTCAATTGGGGCCAATGCAATGCAAAATATACGTATATTTAAATAATCCCAGCCCCTGCAAAAATAAATATAACCAAGTGTGGTGTGGCTGACCTGGTGGTATGGAATGTTACATCTGTCAGCCTCTCCTCCCAGCCAATTACCCTTGGTCCAGTCTCATCTCTGTGACATGAGGATAAAGAGTAGAGTGGAGAAGATGGACAAACAAAAAGAGAAAAAAACATAAAGGAGACTTTTGATCCATGGGTTGGGATTATGATCCCATCATGGTTTGTTATAAAAAGATATAAATTAAGCAATTTTGGAAACATGTAATTTGAGTAAACCATCCCTTTTTAAGCATTGTTATAGTGTTATTGTTATAATACACACAGTTGTGGTTAGGTGTATCGGTACCCTAAAAATTGCAAATGAGTAGTCACCAGTGGAATTGACAGCCCATCTAAAATTATTTCTGAAGAAAATAGCAGCCATCATGTCAGCAGTTTATCAGCCACCAGTACTAATCATATCACAGACAATGCCATTAACTATAATTATGATGCTTCTTTGATCAAAAAGACAATAATGCTCTCTTTGCGTTGCTCTGTTGGCTTCAAATGATTGGCTATTGTCACTTCAGCTTAGCTCTGCTTGGCTCAAATGAACCAATCACACACAGTCTCTCCATCTCGTTTCTCATTATTTTCTCTCATCTGATGTCACTGTCCTCCACCTATTTATTTATAATCTTTTTCTTTTTGTGTAAAATGCTATGTCACTATAGGGATTTATGCAAATGGATAAGTGTGTGTTTTTTTTTCAGCTCTTACTTGTTAAGCTCCTTGGCTTTAGTAATCACATTCTCGCTTGCGTTCATCGATTCCTATCATTTCCTGTGGTGTGTGTATGTGTTTCTGTTTGGGTGTAACAGTCCATACAGAAAGCTATTAGCAGTGCTATCTGTGGGCTTTATAGCCTGGCTGTAATGGCCAGTGCTCAGAGGACTGGTGTGAGATTTACTGACTTTTCATGGCAGAGGAGAGGAGGAATTGAACAGGGGAAAGGGGAGTAAAGAGGAGACATGAGAATAATAGTTTATGTAACTTGGCAAGTCAGGTAAGCACAAGGTCTTATTTATAATGACAGCCCAAGCAAGGGGAAGAAAAAAGAAAAGAAAACAAAAAAGGAAACGAAGGATTGAAAATAAAAGGAGAGGGACTACTAAAGAAAGAAGATAAAGATAAAGGGTAATATTTCTATGGACCGTGAAATAGAGCAGTAGGATTACAATACAATACATACACCGAAGAGCTTTCTAAGCCTCCATTTCCAAGTTCCCAAAATTAACCACATTTAGTAAGAAACCTCTGAAATCAAGGATGTCTTGAACCAATATTCAATAGCATTGACAGTATACATAGTGGACAGAGTTTGCCTGTTTCTCACCTAAAATTGTTTCACAAACATATTTCAGTGTCTGTAATACGAGAACGTTTGACTGGTGAGCTGCTATTGTGTCCTGCTATGGACAAGTCAAAACTGCGCAGCCAATGAAAGCAGCTCCACTGCTGGCTCTGAAAAACTGTCATGGTGACTGACTGTAATGCCAAACCTGAGGCTTCAAAACGGTACTCCGCAAACCAATGAGTGACATCACAATAGATTCACACTTGAGTTTTGACGACATCTGACAAAATAAAATAAATGCAGGCTAAAGACAAAAACTCTTTACTGGCATACTGACTCCGGCCTTCATTGGCTGGTTTGCAAAAGTTCTGTTAAAGATCAAGTGGAGCATTTAGCGGCAGTGAAGTTGCAGATCCCAACTCCCTTGTCTCACTCTGCCCTTCCAACATGAAGGACAAACTGGCTGATGGCTAGTCCTGTCTAAAGCCAGTGTTGGTTTGTCCATTCTATTGTAGAAACATGGAGGGTGACCTGGGGTGCCTAACCCTAACTCTTCACACCTTGAAGCGCATAACATGTAGATTGTAGCGACAGTCCTTAAGCATGTCAACTGAAATATCCAAAATACCCAAACCAACCACCTTGTTTGACTGAAAAACTGCAGTGATCAGCTGTTTTTAAATTAAACTGAATGAAATTAGAGAGCCTTTTTGAGCCTTTTCTACACCTCAAAAATGTATGTATTTGTGCTGTTTCATGTTTCAGTAGGGATGAATTGTCTCATTTTTGCCTACTTTTGTACTACTAGCTCCTATTGACATTTAGACAGGTGGATATGTTAAGCCACTAACTTTTCAACAAAACACAAAAAATTGTGTCTTTGATGACATTTAAACTGGCAGACGTGGAACTGACAGTGTTTCTTTTTTTACCTACTAATATACACACTCACACACACACATCTGGCGCCATTGTGGTATACTTCCGGATGTCTTGGGGTCAGGCTTTAAAGGTGTCTGTAGACTTGTGTCCATGTTTATTTCTGTCTCTCTGCCTTCATTCATCCAACAACCGCCTGAAGCAACAAGGACACATGCTTTATGCCAACGCCAAACACCTGGCCTGTCACTTTCTACTCCTCCATCAGTATGAGGTCCCTAAAATAACAACAAATCATCCTAAAAAACTTTGACATGCTTTAAATGGTGTAAAATGTTCCAGTTAAAATGAATTGTTTGCTCTGTGTAATGACAGCTGTTCATATTTAGAAAAATTATTTTTGGAGCAGTCTGTCTACTTAACAAATGCCACTGGACGTATATTTCTTGCACTGGTAGCAGAGGGATTAACTCTGCTTTTGAGAAATTGTGGGTCCTAATTATTACTCTCAAGTCATTTATACCCATCCTGAGCCGTGTCCCTGGTCTTTCCTCCTTGTTGTTAAAACATAAGATTAAATTATTTTTTGAAGCATAGGGTGGTTTACCTCACTGGTTAAATAATGCAGTAATGTGATCTTTGACATTAAAATTATTTGGATAGAAGCAAAGGTATGCATGAATGAAGTGACCAGCATGTTTTTTCACACAGATTATTAGTAATCAAGGAAACCGACAACCGATGTTTAGAACAAATGTACATTTACAATAAAAATCTTAGTGAAAAAATTAAGAATAAAGTGGTTGAGTGTAACTAGGTTAATTTACTTAAGTGCTGTATAATTTTGATGCAATTTACACGTTCTTTGCTTGAGTATTTGCATTTCCCCGTCCGTGGCACAGTAGCCTTTAGTGTTGATAAGCTAGTACTCGTGATGTGTAACCAATCAGATAGTACTGTGGGTATCCGAGCCAAAGTAGCATTTTAATTTAAAAATATATTTATTAGATCTGATTCAAAAAATCACATTTCTGAAAATTGGAAAAATATATTATTGAATATTGGATCTGATAATCAACCAGGCCGATAATTGATCTAAGCCATTTTGATCTCTAGGACATAACATTTACATGTACATCTTAATTGGACAAGGTTTCAGTACAAGACAAAAAAAAATAAATCAGCACTCAAATTGCATTTATACACATGAGGATATTATTAGCCCCCCTATGAAAATTTAATTTTTTAAAAAGTATTTCCCAAG